GTGTGTTGTGGCCACGTGCACCTCTGTTGAAGCTCACCACCATCTTGATGACTGTTGGGTTCCCTGTCACTATGTCCTGGATCTGATCCACCTTAGAACTGAGAAACATTGACAATTGTGGTGATGAAGACAGTGTTACACATCGTGGACAATAAAGTTAGTAACCTAACAAAAAGGAACTTACAGTCACTTATGCATTTGTAATACATTATAACCATTGAGGTAAGATAACATAAGTAAGTGTTTGTAGTGTGACTGAAGATTACGGCACTATACTGATTTAGGCTGCATTTCTCACTTGATTTCCTCCTCCAGAGCCGTTTTGAAGAGTTTGAGCAGCAGGTATTCCTCTCTCTGGTTAGAGGCGTAGTTGTACAAGGTGAAGATCACAGTGTCCATAAACTTAGTGGACTTGTTTTGGGGCATCTGGAAGATCAGCTTGGCCAGGTAGTGTGGATTGGTCTAAAGGGGAGGGAAGAGAGAAGGGGTAGTATTAAATGTGTCTGCAACTGCACTTGGGATATCTTATTAAACCTTTTAGGTTGAATAGATGAGGTAGAGTTAGACACATTTTTGTATCACCTGCAGCAGGTAAAATAGATGTTGGTAGGCCTCCAGTTTCCTTCTTTTGCTTTTATTCAGGCCCTTAATACCCACTCTGTCTCCTGCAGTCAAGTCATCTTTACTCGTTTTATTTTTCTTGTTCTTCATCTTCTTATTATGGGACACAACATCCTTTTCAAAGACACAAACACCAAATGAATTAAGCACCCAAACTGGACAGGACAAGACATATAATACAGGAATTTTTAGGGATGCGATACAGAGCATTTATGTGTGTCGCAGTGGGAATCAAACCCAGATCTCACACACCAAAAGCATGTGTCTTATCCACTGAACCATCACCACCCCCACAGTATGCTTTTCTCTTCCTTGTACACATAAAAACAAGGGTTGCCAACCTGTAGAGTGATCCTGTTCTTCACCAGCAGTCCAATCTTTATGTCCATCAGGCTCAAGTCTTTCTCCATCTGCTGATTGGAGCGAATATTGGTCACCACTTCCTCCCTAAGCCGTGTCACTTCCTGCTCCTCCTGAAGGTCCAGGGTGCTCTGCTCTAACAAGTGGACAAACTTACGCACCACTGACAGAGGAGGATCCTTGGCCCCAGCTAAAATTTGGCAAAAAAATAACCAAACAGATGTCACCATATGTTTGGCAAATTCTCTAAATATCAAGATTACCTGTATCAAAATACTAAGACTAAGTTAGGGATGGTAATTGGTGCTTTCACACACAAGATTCACATATTTACACAGGGGATCATTTAGAAAAATAAACAAGTAATGCCAGTGTGATGATTAAACTGGATACAGTCAGATGAGCTCAGAAATTAGGGACGCCTAACTAAAACGCAATCACACGTAATGAAACTACTAATTTAACCGATGCAATATGACCATCATCAAAGTCTAAAGGAATTTAAAGTCTCACAATATGATATTGATATTATATCAATATAGTTCTGCTCTAACTGCAGGAGTGTAAAATGTCTTTTTGACTCACTTAGGGTTCTGTAGTCATCTCTGGCTTTGTTGGCCTTTAGAAAAGCCTGGATTTTCACAATTTCTTTTTCCTAAACACAGATAACAGTGAGTCTTACACAGCATGGAACAACCAACACCAAACTAAAGGATGTCGCTCAGTGATGTTTACTGATTACTCACATGATCTCTGAAGAACTGCAGTCTCTGATTGTATTTACTTTTGGCTTTCCACATTTTCACTAAAGACTGGATCTAAAAACACCAATGTTAAATGTCAGGTATTTGATACGGTAGATTTGTTTAATTAATGTTTAGTACATGCCGATTACATTTGCTTCACAGTTGTCTAGTCACTTAAGTTTACCGTTTTAATGTATTTTTTATATAAAACAAACAAAACACATTTTATCACCTTGACAACAGAAGCAACATTTTTCTGAAGAAGATTCATCCTGTCTTTGTACATTTTCCTCTGTTTGTAACCTCTCCAGCAAGCCTGCAATGCAAGCAAATCAGTGATCCCACAGCATGGATTATTAAACTTGAATAGTGGAAGACTCTCCTAGGTGTTTCTGCTCCTTGAGGTGTTGTCACTGCTCTAATGTTTTATGTGCCATTTCTGATTTTGGATTTTCATTTAAGAATGCTGAAAGTAAGACAGTAAAGTGCTTGTAAACTACAGAAAATGTTCATCTTTTTGCATCTCTATTGATTTATAATTCCCGCAGTATCGTCAATCATTCATTCACAGTTCATAGTGCAGACCTGCAATTTGACGACTTGTGGTTCTTGTTGGTGTAGATACTCCATTCTCTGGGTATACTTTTTCCTGACCAGGTAACCTTTGATCCTCGCCTGCAGCTGGGTCACCAAGGATTCATTGGCCATCCATAACTGTTCCCTATTATATACTGCAGTCGCACAGCTGACAACACCCTACGGGAAAAAGGCATGTTTTGAAGTTTTCAGGTTAGAAAAAAACCCTCTGTAGGCTGAATATTATCTCATCAAACGAATAGTGCAATTTTTAAATATCACATCACTGAATTGATTGTAAAACCAAGAATGAAATAAATCCAATCAATGGTATGTAAGAATGTTAACAACATTACATAATGGAGTAGTTAAAGTATGCAGTACAGCAGGGGGTACCTGGATTTCCTCTTTACAGAGCTGGCCTCCTTTGTGTTCAAATCCTTCAGGCTCCTCCCAGGTGCCCTGTCCCGTCCCCAGGTTATAGTAGTAGTCATATCTGTCCTTGATGCAATGTTTCACCCACACACTGTCAGTGCTGCCTGGAGGAAAGCAGAAACTTCCCTTTAAACAGAGTGAATGTAATATTGGCATCTTACTATGTAGGCATCAGTGGAGCTTCCTTTCTCATGATACTTGTGCAGTCAAGTTACCTTTAGTAGCACTGTTTGTTTGTCTCTGCTCCAGTTCAGCCTGGTATGTGTCAGCACATTCAGGGAGCACCGCTCTCAGTCCTGCACTGGGAACTTGCAAAGCCTTCAGTGTATTTTGAGAGTCTCCCTCGGCCACCACCTTGTTAATATCAGCTACTGCTCTGGCCACTAGCAAAGTAAACAAGATTTAACCAAAGAAGTTGTTGAGTACAAAAACAGCACAGTAACACCAAAGTAAAAACTAGCAAGTAAGTGATAATCCACATCAAGCGAAGTGGTTATTAAAAAAAATAAATCACAATATTGACAGTATCAACACACAGCCAACTAGATTAGAATATCTATGTAACTGAAAAGGAGGATAAAAACCTAAAAGGACCAAGAAATTTTTACATTCTATTTTTCCCTACATCATGAGGAGCTTTCAGTGTAACAGTTTTACCTTTATCGAGTTTTCGACCTTAATAAAGGTTACTTTATTTCTGCACGTACATCAGTAAGCAATCAGCTTTAGCCTCGTGCCAGCTGATACAAGCTATGGGTATTCATTTGGAACAGTAATAAGCCCACTAACTATTAATAGTGCAGTGATCTGAATATAATGCACATCTTCTGGACAATCAGAATGTAGTACTCAAGGAGCCCATTGTACGGGAAGAATTAACCAAAGATGAATTAATTATTAAGTAATTAAGATATGAATGAGTGAATTTAAACTCTGGGTACATACATGTGAGAGCCTCCTCTTCATCCTGGTTGGCTGTGTGTATGGCCTCTTGGATTTGGTCCAGCCACAGTACTGCAGACTCATCTCCAGAACTCTACAATCAGGTAAAAGCACAGGGTCACCTCACTTTGTAGACCAAACTACACTCAGGCACACAAGGCACTGTTTACGCATAGCTGCACAATACTAACTTGATATTAAATAAATAAATACATATTTTGAAGCAATTACAGTCAGAACATTCAATGTCCAAGGTTAGAAATTCTTGTAGTTAGATACAAATTCTTTATGTTAGGATTGTGGACTTTTGAATGTGCTGTATTTTACTATATGGCTGTAGCGCTTCATAGCAATGCCGATTACCACTGCACTACAAAAGCTGGTGCTGTTAGAGCAACAGCAAATAATAGACAATACCATTTCCCCTGTGTCCAGAGGTAAGATCTAAGGAAAAGGAAAGGAAAAAATGAGTAATTATTGTTAGTTACACTACAAATATATCCTGACCCTCCCTCAATAAACCACTTTGTACTAAAAAACATAATAGCATAAATATAACAGCACAATTACCACAAAGAATGTTTATTCAGCCTGACTTCAGTATTATTTCTCAGGCTAATTTTAGAGAACTTTGGGGACCGGGATGTATCCCTGACCACAGTGAGGAAGTAAGTCACCATTAACATAAACCGAGCAGACTAAAAGCGGCTTCTTTGTTTATATCTGCATCTGACCAACGATTCCCCCAGTATGACAAAAAACATCCCTGTTGTTCATTATAAAAGAGCATGTCGTCATTCTTGTTTGTGAGACGACATTTCAACATAAAATGTGTGGTACAAATCAGATAGAAGTTAATGCACTTGAGTTGTGAGCCGCACAACACAAAAGCAAACAAGAAAAAACGAAACACAACTTACACACACTGGATAATCTCATTGAAATTATTTGGCACCATCTTCAAACACATTACCAGTTCCCATATTACATCTGTAACTGCTCTATGATGTAATAGTGTTAGAATAACCCAAAACATCAGTTACTTTAGTGATTCCTTAATTCCATAACCAGACCGACCAACACTATTGTCACCTCAAATAAATGAAAAACCCAAATCATTAAAACAAAAAACTTGTAATAACCTAAACCACAATAAAATAACTTATTGTAACAGTAATCAGTGTTATGTGTTTATGGATCACAGCTGTTAATAAGCCATTCAGCTGTGTCCTCCCACCCCAGTGAGTCAGAGGGCAGTTACTGACGCAGGCATGGGGGAATTCAGTTTTCAGGCCTGGACAGGAAACGTGTTCACTGCACTGCACAAACACACAAGCGTCCCACATACACTAGCGGGAAGCTGAGCTTGAGAACACAGCATTATCAGTTCTACTGTTGCTCTGCGAAGATGCAAAACAGCAGATTTTACAGAGGGAAAACTCCTACTCCTACTCCTTTTACTGAAAAGAAGCAACACAGAGAGGGGTGAAGACCAGAAACCTTGGGAAAAACTCTGGGATATAGACTGGAGAGCGACATGGCTGACCTTGTTCCAGGACTTCTCATTTGTTTGATGGCAGTCCAGACCATTCAGCACAATGGTAAGTTTACTATACTTAACTGAATTTATATCTTTTAAGCCAGGGTCAAAAATTACACTATATTTACACTTTTTATAAACATTATGTCATTTTGGTACACAACAACTGTTAAATAACACAGATTTACCTGTTTTAGTACAGCTGTAAATACTATACAAAAATTCCAATATTAAAAATATTGCAATGTGTTTTCTTTGCTAGAAATGAAAAAAGTTTTCAAATGAACACTAACCAACAAATAGTGTGACTAACTACATTTTGTTTTTTTAATGTAGTTTCAAATTAGCTTTAACATAAAATTAAAGTTAATTTAAAGCCATAAACAACATTTTTCTCTCCATTTATAGGAAACAGAACCAGGACCAAAACCAATATTCCAACTGGTCTTGTACCAAAAACCTTCAAGGGGAGGACGTACATACTTAATGGCACAGACAAGCTGCAGACCATGCCCTATCCCAGCACAAACCCTTGGCTGCATGTGAACTGGGAGGAGCCAGTTACAGCCTATACCACAGGGGTCCTCAGCACACGGGTCATACCTTTGTCATACATCTTGGCCATGCTTGTGGGTATCCCCTCCAACGCCTACATTCTGGCCTTCCTCAGACTCAGAGCAAAGTCCTTCGCCACAGTAGTTTTTTACCTGAACCTGGCCTTGTCGGACCTGCTGCTCCTGCTCTCTCTGGCACTGCGAATTCACTACCACTTCAACGGAAACAACTGGATATTTGGGGAAATCTCCTGCCAGCTTATCACAGCCTTGTTTTATGGCAATGTTTACTGTTCTGCTCAAACTATAGCATGCATCAGTCTGAAGCGCTACCTGGCTGTGGTCAGACCGTTTTTGTACAGAAGGCTGTCTAAGACTACGCTGGCAGTGTGGACATGCCTGGTTGTGTGGTTCCTGTACGTGGCTGCTATTGTGCCAGAGCTCCTGGTCAGGCAAAGCTACCAGGTTAACCAGCTGGGAGTCATCACCTGCCATGATGTACTTCCCCTAGAAGAAAAATCTCATTCCACACTGGTGCCGTATAGGCTGATGCTGGTTTGTCTGGGTTTCATAGTACCCTTCCTGATTTGCATCTATGCCCATGTGGCAGTGGTATACCACTTAGGGCAATCTGGCTGTGACTGGAGACAGTTTATCAGGGTCAGTACTCTGGTTTTCGTTATCTTTGTGGTGTGTTTCTTGCCCAGTGGCATCCTGCATATCGCCCACTACATCCGCCTGTTTTCAAATGGGGACGACAGACTGTATGGTTACTACAGAGTAGCGGTGTGTCTCTGCTGCTTCCACAGTTGTCTGGATCCCTTCCTGTTCCTGCTCATTTCGAAGACGACAGCCTCTGAACTAGAATTCATTTCCGTCTACGGGATACCTCAGAGGCCGGCTGAAACTGGATGCGAGTACGCAGAAAAAGCAGCTCCTTGATGGACTAATGTTGGGAACCAGCAGGGAAGCACAAGCCCAGAAACAAAGATGTGAAAGTTAAGAGTGGACACTGAATTTAACAGGGCAATATATGTTATGTCCAAAACAACAGGAGGCTCTGAATCTTTAAGAATATCAGGAAAGGAACGATGAAACTGTGAAACCTATATAGCTTAACGTCAACCCAATCCGAGTATTTTGACTCTACAATGGGGATTGTGATGGAACAGTGGACAAGACACACGCTTTTGGTGCGAGAGACCCCACAGTGACACCTACCAATGTGTCCCTGACAATTAACCCCTAGTTGCTCCAGAGGTGTGCGACCAGCTAAATGAATAAATGTAATGTACAATCGTTTGTCTTTGCCTTGTTACAAAAACAGCTTAATAGAAAAGTTAATAGAAAAGTTCCACATCAACATCAAGCAGTTCAGATTTAGGAGGATGTAGTAATGTAAAATAGAGCCATGCTGCTGTGCAAGTCCAAAAAAACTAACGATTAGAGTGAGATAAAGTTATGACATGTTACAGCAAGGGTTTATTAAGCCATAAAAATATTTTAGACTTTGAGCATGTGAGAGGTGCAAGCGCATTTATTTACATAAATCATATTAGTTTACTCAATTTAGTGTCACAATACCTGGCAGAGGAGTTTCTTGGTGTATTGTAGGAGATCATGGTAATGTTTGGCTGTGTCTGGGTTCACCCCCATCAACTTGGCTGTAGGGAGGAGCAGGGCTGCAAGCGTTTGCTTAGGATCACCTGAGTTAAGTGCCTCATTGATCTCAGCTATGGCTATGATGCCTGCGGGGAGAAAACAAGCAACATTTGATACTTGATCTGTCAATGTGTTTAATTTATTTTGTGGGGGTTTTTTTGGAGGATCACATCCAAAATAAAAATAAAAATTTCCAAGGGTTGAAACTGCTGGCTTAAAAATGTCCACAAGCTACACTACGTAAAAGTTAACCACTTTCTTACGTTCGTGCTCCTCATGGACTTGAATGTTGACTGTGTCGATGCATTTCTGAACATCATTCCAGGTGAGAAACTCTTGGCCCTTGGCAAGAGCCTCCCCTCGCAGTTTGATAAGCGTGTCAGCATACCTGAGGGAGAGTGCCATAAAGAAACTCAACAATGTTTTATGACATTTAATGACCTACTCATCAGCCCACCATAGTGGGACATAGCGACATGCAACCTAAAGACATTATTTCTATAACTATTTAATCAAATTAATTTCTTGCTCCTAAAGCTATTTTCTACCATCATAATTGAACTTCTGAGAGCCACAGTTAGAGCAACAACAAAACAAAAAAAAGTAATCATTCAAGAGAACAGCATCACCACCAGCATCAACAGAAGTGACAGCAGTGTGAGGTTAACTACAGAAAAACTCCACTGCAGATCGTACAGTCCAGTGTCTTGCTAAATTACACTTGAGCAAGACAAATGCTTGCTAAAAGGGAAGCCTGAACCTACTGTCACCAAGCTGTTGCCCTATGGTATCGATCTGGCTTAACAGCTGGTGTTCCTAGTACTTGTTTAATGCACAGCCCCCTTACCTGTTGAGGTTGTCTTGGTCCATGTTGGTGAAGCCCAGAGGAGAGTCTGTCAGTTGCTCAATCACAGCCTGGGGGTCTTTGGTGTCCAGCACCTCGTTCAGCACTGCTACAGCTGACAGCATCTCCACAGCTACACTCAGCTCCTCATGGCTCAAACCAGACTAATAAAACATAAAAAGGCCTGAATCATGAGCATGAAGTGACATTTAACTAAAGTGTATGTCTAGCCTCCCCTATAGCTATAAACATATCTGTATTAGCATGTGGGTCGACATTTAAAGAGCTAGAATTGAAAACATGATGTCTCACCCGCCCCCCTTGTAGCTGCAAACTGAAAAGCTCAGCCTGATAGAGGTTGGCAGCAGTTTGGTACACAAGTGGAAGTTGTGCCTCAGGGTTCATCAGCTCCTCTACCGTCTCCATCGCATTGCCAAAACGAATGGCTGTGTTGATCGCTGCAACTGCCTCAAGTTCTGGTCAAGACAATGATCACAGAAAGCCATGTCTTGCAGATAACCCAAACATAATTTTGGAAAGGCATGTCAGTATTAAAATAACATTGTCTTCCTTTCCTCACAATTACATGCTGAAATGCCTTTAAAAAACCCATGTTAAAAGTTTTATCATGAACTTCACTGTGTAATAGTACACAGACTCTACATGTGTGCTTTGAGAAGCTTACTAGTGGGTACATATGTGATTTTCCACTGACCAGTAAATAGTGTTAATAAACATCTATGGTAAGTAACAGAAGGTGCTTACTTCGTTTCTCTGCCTCTGCAGAGTCATTACAAGAGCTGACAACTCTCTGAATCTCCTCTTTGTCCATCATCACGGCTCTCCCTCCATCCTGCAGCAAAAAGATTAGAGTTCACTAGAGATATACCAATAAGATCCCATATTTATTCAACATCCTTTTATGCAGGGCAAAGTGCCTGATGGTGTCCTTTCCAACTGAATTTACAGTTGCAGAATAGTTTTTTAATTCTCTGAAGTTGTCGCTTTTTCTTTATAACACAATGTCTTCGCTGTATGGCAGTGTTTAGTGAAAGTAGCACAGTCCTTCAGCGTCTACACTACATCTAGTCAGCCAATGAACTGCTATGTGCTCACAGCAGTACATAAAATGGAAGTGGATCGGCATTGTCAGAGGACAAACAAAAAACAGAAAAACGTTGAGTTTAGAAATGGGGTCAAAGACAATGCTGCAAAGGTGTTTCCCTGGAAATGGGTATGATTTGTTTCTATTCCACTCCTACGAGTGAATTAATTTGTACTGTGGCTTTAAAGTTGCCAGCATTTTCAACTATGGCCCTCAAGTACTGCTTTTTTAATTATAGGCTTTTTTGTTGTACTCCCTCAACAACTGCAAAAAAAATTAAATTACCTAATCGCTTGGAAAGAAAACTAGAGGTGCTCCGACTCCTAAGGCCCTGATTTAGGAACAACTGAGCAAACAAGCTCGGACTCCGTATACCTTTGATTTATGTTGGCAATAGGTGGTAAAATGTTCCAGGTACCAGCGACAGTTTGACTCCTGAACACCTAGCAGGGCCAAAGCTTCAAGCCTGAGTGCAGCCAACAGAGCAGCTTCGTCCTGGGTCGACACAGCTTGATTCACCTGGATTACTGCTGACTGGACTGGAGACAGGAAAAACCAAGACAGACGTCACTGAGGGACAACGTACGGCCCAATTTTAACTGCACATTCTTCACTGTAAATTCAGAGTTCACCAGTGTCCTGTGTGTTTTCCATGCAAGAAGGAATGCAATCATGGTACTTGGCAGTATTTTGGGAAAAAGAAACATGTAAGGGAAAAAGAAAGTAACATGTGGGAGGGAAAGTCCTTACTGTTGACAAAGTCAAGGCAGCCCTGGATCTCCTGCTGAGTCAGCAGCTCTTCATACACATCTCTTTCTTCTGAAGCAATTGAGGAGCACTAATTGAGGGACACAAAGAAAAAAATATATAATATTAATTTCAAACAGCATACTTAATTTGAACCTTGTCACATAATACATATTCTACAGTTCACATTTCCGCCATTAAGTGGAAACGGATGGCTCCTGTACAGTATTTGTAAAGAGAATGGGAGGCGAGATGCCGGATGCTGCGGAGGGTTTGTGTTGTGAAGTACAGCTGACACTGCAGCCACTGGAATGTGCTGGCAAGGCCTGTGAGTGAGTCAGTGCAAGCAACCCCTTTCCAAACTCGGGATGTTGGGTTTAGGGCAACACTCACGTTTTGCTTTCGTCAAATTTGGTCACAATGTTTTATATTCAATCACGCCTACACAAGACTTTGCAACCCTGTTCCCAACCCGAGTTGAATACAGAAGTGAGACTGCATATAGTAGAAGGTCGTAGTATTTAGTACAAAGATGGGTTGTTTTTTTATTGGTGAACGCAATTTATTATAATTTATGTAACTGAATATCTGGCTAGTGTAAAAACGAGCTAAATAGAGATTGGTGAATAGACAACCAACAAAGTGAGCAACCAAGAGAGAAACTAAATAGGCTGTTTAATTAGAAAGACAAGCCTTCTATACAGGGGAAGCCTGAACCAAACATTATACAAATAAATGATGACGGTGAAACATAAGAAGTGAGGCTTCTCACCCTTCCTGCGGACTGACTCTGCTTACGAGCCTTGGCCTGGCTCAGTGTGTCCTGGTAGTCTTGGGCCAGAGGTTCCTGGGTGTTTCTCAGCATTGCATTAGGATTATTCAGGGCTCCCATTGTCACAGATGCCTGGCCTCGGTCAACTGCCTCATTGATGGCAATCACAGCAGCATGTACTAAGGACAACAGAGTATGTGCGAACATTTTAGTGTTAGTGCTAAAATCTTCTGGAGTTTGTCAAAAACATCAATAGAGAATTAGTTCAAAGGTCAGAGGACTTACAGGCAGCTTCATCCACTGAGAGCTCATTGGCTAGGATTCCTCCAATCTTACTGAAAGCTGGCATTTGAATGCCATACTTCTCCAGCTCACTCCTCATGTTACTGATCTCTTCCTCTGGCAGGCAGATATACACAGATTGCAGGGGAAATTGCGGTGTTACAGAGTATAGAATAGTAAAGGCTAAAAACTCAGTTGCTTGGGCACAGTCACTGAATTTAAGTCATGGCTATTTTAATAGTTTATGCATTTCTTGTTGCTTTCAAACAGAAGTCAAATGATACAACGATGTATATAACTTTTTTTCTGTATAATTTTAAAATGTGTTCATTAGTATGCTCACTGTATAAAGCCTTACATGCAAAATAGTTGAGCCAACTGTAAAAAAAAAAACCTTTCAAACATAAATGTTTCATAGGTTTCAGTAATCTGGTGGTGTCATTAAAAGAATTGATAATATCCTTTAGAAACGTTTATCCTCAAATTTTAGTGCACATTTTCACATCTTGTCAAATTTAGTGTGCAGGTGCAACTCCTCAGCTAACATTTCGCATACACAGTTAGAGCACAGCGGGCGGAATTGAGTTTCAAGAAACTACAACAGCATGGCACAGCGTGGCAGGAACATGTAGGGGAGGGCAGCAGCATGCACCACGTGTACTGGAAAAGTAAATATCTGATAAAATACTGGATAACCAGTAAGGTGTTGGGAGGGAATTTGCATGTTGTTTTTCAAATTTCTAAATAATGAACATGCATTTATAGTAATGAGAATTTTTCCCTTACATTTGTCTATTCTGGTATACATTACTGTTACCATCCATCGTCAACCGCTTATCCTGCGTACAGGGTCGCGGGGCATTTCTGTTACATATACATATAATTCTTATACTGTGAATATGGAACATACCAGTTATTGAGTTACTGTATGTAAGTCTCAATGAGAACATTCATAAAGAAACACAAACAAATAAATGAAGTTTTTACTTTTGGTTTGTTGTGAGTGATTGAGGGCCTTTCACAGGACAAATAAAATGTGCATTTTTGAGGTCTAAAATACCACAGGGAACCTTTGAACAGTTGACACACAGTAACCAGAGGGAACAGCTTCCCAAAGTTACATTAAACTTACTTAAAACTTGTAGTTTTTTGAGTCCTATTAAGTATTATTTGAATGACTCCAGGGGATATTTTGGAGAACTGAAATGTGTGAAAGATCTATATTAATCATAACACATTTACATAAATCCTCATAAAAATGTACATGCTGGAGAGCACAGAGACACAAGACTTCTATTAAAATAATACACGCACACCTGAATATGTACACAATAAAAAAGGTTAAAGGCAACATTTATCCTTCATTTTAAAAGCAATTAATAATAACTTAATTGATTACATTTAAACATATCTATATAAATTCTGTGCTATACTTCAGTTTCTG